CTGCGGGGGTTGGCAGGGGGTTGGCAGGGGGGGCGGGGGGGGGCAGGCAGACAAGGGTCGGGCGGGGGCAGAGGGGGACTGGGTGGGAGGAATGGGCCGACAGTGGCAGCTGGCTGGGCAGGAGGGGCTGGGAACGAGGGTCGAGAGAGGAGACAGCCGGGCGGCGGCGGTGGGGTGGCAGGCGAGACGCCGGCACCGCTGGGCGGGCGCTGTGGGGCGGGCGGCGGGTGGGCGAGGGGAGCGGGTCACAGCTGCCTGCTGCTCACCACCGGGGGGGCGGTGTCCCGCTCTATTGTGAGCGTGTTGGAGGCGGCATTGTCCACGCCGGCGCCAGACAGGGCCCCCTGAGGCACGTACACTGCGGCAGGCGGCGGCGGGGAGGGGCGCCGCGGTGAGGAGGCTCCCGGTTGTGATGGCGGTGACGGCACGAGGCGGCAAGGCAGCGGCGGCGCGCCACAGCCAGAAGAAAGCGGGCGGGGTGGAGACGGGGCGTGGAGGTGGGGGGCGCACACGGCAGCACAGGGCGGGCAGCCGCACAGGGCGGGCCGCCGCACAGGGCAAGCCGCCGTGCGCGAGCCGCTGGCATGCACAGCACGGCGCCTCGTCAGCCTGTTGACGAGCGCTGGCGCTGCCTGACGCGCACCTGTGGTGGGGCCCGGCCCATCCAGGCTGATCTCCACCTCTGCCGTAGTGCCATCCACCACCACTGGCACCTCGCTGACGGCGCCGCCGGTGACGGCAAAGGCCGCGGGCTGCACGGCGCCCGTCAGCCGCGCGGCACCGCCGCCGCCCAGCTGCATGCGCACGCGGATGCGGGAGGCCGAGGTGCGGACGAGCGGGTCGTCCACGCAGCGCGCGCCCTGCGCCGCGCCGCCGGCCCCGCACGGCGGCGCGGCCTGGGTGTCGTTGATGGCCCGCGCCAGTCCCGAGTAGCCATCCAGCAGCACGGCGCCGCCGGCCGAGCTGGGGAGCAGCAGCACCGGCACGCCGTCGCCCTCCGCCAGCTGGCGCGAGCGCGCCGCCGCCGTGCTGCCGCCGTCGGCGGCCGCACCGGGCAGGCTCACGCCCGGCCGCGCCAGCGCCTGCGGGCCGCCGGGGCAGCCTGCGGCGGCGGCCACTTGGATGGTGCTCTGCAGCGTGGGCCCCGCCGCCTGGCCGCCGCAGTAGACAGCCAGCTGCAGCGAGTAGGGGCTGCCGGCGTGGAAGGTGGATGGGTCCAGTAGGAACCTGAACCAGAAGCTGGCTGGCGCCGCGCCTGCCTGGTCCTGCTCCGCCTGCTGCTGGCGCAGGGCGGGGTCGTCGGCGGGGGTGGGCGTCGCGACCTGCGGGGTGGGTGCGCGCCGGCGGCGCGGCAGCGCTCAGCCCGACTGCCTTCCCACACGTGCAGCATGCAAAGGGGAAGGGCAGCCTGACCGGGGCTGGCAGGGGCAGCGCAGCCGCAGCGCTGCTGCAGCGCCAGTGGCGGGCGCTGGCGGGCTGGCGGCATGGTGCTGCCGGCCCCAAGCTGCCCAGGCATCGCGAGATCGCAGGGACCTTGGGCCCTGCTGAACAGCCCCTCGCGGCCTCCAGCCCCTACACCCAGCACCAAGACAAGCCTGCCCAGATGCAGGGCGCGAGGGCCTGCCGGGGCCCTCCCCTCACCTGCTGCCCACTCCACAAGCTGATCATGCGCCCCGAGGTGCTGCGCTCCAGCACCGACAGGACTCCCGAGCACTGTTGCTGCAGCCGCAGAGCGGGCACGCGGTGCTGGACGCCCAGCGCCAGGGCGCCCCTGGCGCAGCCCAGCGGCAGCTCCAGTCGCTGCAGCTCCCCCGTGGGAAGCTCGTAGGTGCGCCCCTGCAGCTCCAGCGCCAGCGGCCACAGCGGTAGCGCCGAGCCGCAGGCGACCTGCTGCTGCGCCAACAGCAGGAGGAGGGCGAGCCAGAGGGTCGCCATCCCGCCTGCACAGTGCTGCTGCAGGGACCCCATGACACAGAGCTCCTAAGCAAGCAACATGTGGGAGAGTGCAGGAAGACCACTTGCAGCCTGCGTGCTCCAAAGTGCACGTGCGAACAAAGCACAAAGGGTGTTCATGGCGAATAACGGTATCAGCGCGCAACATGGGCCAGCAAGGCAAAGCGGGCGCGCCGCGGCCCCGCCAACAAGGCGGCCCCAATTGTGGATCACCCTCTCCAACATACGCCACATGTCTATGGAGACAGATCTATCGTTACATCTGCCTTCCTGGACTGCATGCGCCCACCAGAAGCGGGCGCAAGCAACGCCCAAAGTGGGCGCCAGCGCCGCCGCTTCCAGCGCCGGTCGTTTCCCAGCGACCTGGCGCTGCAGCATAAAACACCTGGTCCTCAGGTTACAGATGGCTCTGCCCGAGAAAGAAACAGAGATGGCGCAGGCGGGGCACACAGGCTGCGCACGACGCGTGGAGCGAGGCCCGCAGGAGCCGGCAGCGACGCAGTCGCCAGGCCTCTGCTTGCGCAGCACGCCACGCGAGCTAACGCCCCCGCGCGCTACTTGCCGCCGCCCGCCTGCTGCCCCGCCATCATCTGCTGCATCTGGGTCTCCGCCTCACTGGACAGCTCCCCAAACCGGATGCCCACCCGCGCCGAGTGCTTCATAAACTTGCTGCAGCACGACTGGACACACTGCGGGCGGGCAGGCGGGGAGGGAGGGGAGCGGGGAGGCTGGGGTTCGAGATCCAGGCAGCCAGGCAGAGCCAGCTGGCTGGATGCCTACGGCGGGCCTTCCCCCGCGCCTCTCGCTCGGGCCGCGCTGCCCATCTATCAGGAGCCCAAGCCCTCCTACAAAAAAACTCTCCAAACCCTCGCAGGCGCACCCACCCACCTTCTCCTCAGTAGCATCCAGGTCTTTGCGGCGGAACGACTCCACGCAGTCCTTGAAGCAGCGCTCCACTAGGGTGTTGTACATGCGCAGGCTGCGGTACAGGAACGGGCAGGGCGGGTGCGACGGCGTCAGTGAAGCGCATGCCTGGCATCTGCTCGTGCGGCTGCATGGGCCAGGTGAGAGCAGGTGCAGCACGAGAGGGGGGGGCGGCAGCACCCAGGCCAAGGCTGCGTCGCTCACCTGTCTCGCACTTGCATCTGCTCTATGGCCTGCATGAGCTGCTGCTGCTGGTCCGCCGGTAGGCCCTGCATCGCTGCTCCCGGATCCATGCTGGCTAAATCCTGCACGCAAGGAAGGCAGCCAAGCGTGCGGCGTGGGCCCAGGAGGAGCGGCGGCGGCAGGTGTGGGTGGCGCCGTGAATGCTGCTCGTGCTCGCCACCATGCTGCCCGCACGATGGTCAAGTCGCCCAGGGAACTCAGGCAGTCAGCAGGGCCGTCTGCAGCGCTTGCCCGGCGCATGCAGCCTGCGTGGGTGCACAAGCTGCTGCTGCACGCACCCTATCACTGCCGGCGTTCAACTGCGCTAAAAATAAAGCTGCGGGACGCTCTCCGTGCCCAACTCTGCCCAAAGGTCGGCGATGTGTGAAGGCGCAGGCAGACGGTGAGCGGGGGCTCTGGTAGTAGCGAAACTCTTGACTGGCCAAGGGAGCGAGGCAGCCTTGCATGCCGCACGGCAACCACAGCACAGCAGGCACCGCCGCCCCGCCTCGCCCAGCAGCGCCCCAGCCTGGAGCTCAAGATGAAGCTTGATTGCTGGCTGGGCATGTGCGACCCTGATCTTCTGGGGCCCAGTGCCTTCTGCAACGCTATTCGCCTTGCAAAGCTGCTGGACCGTTTGACCAAGCACAACATCAGGCAGCGGCTGCTTCCTCTCCAGTGTTGTCCGTGGTTGCAATTGGTGTCAGTTCCAAGGGGCAAATTACGCCCTATGCAAAGAAAGGAATCAAGTAAGGGCTCACACGAAGACGACGAAAGAGAAGCAGGGGAGATGGGAGCGTAAGCAGATCCGGCGGCGGGGAACAGGCCGCCGCCGCAGCAGGCGGCGTCACCACCGACCTCAGCGCCCAGGCAGGCCGCCCCATGCGCCCGCTTTCTTCTCCCCCGCCGCCTTGGCCTTGGCCGCCTCCGCCTCCTTCTTCTTCCGCTCCTCCTCCCGCTGCAGCACAGCCAGGCGCCCGGCGGGCGAGCCTTTCACCCCTCGCCGGCACGACAGGCGCCCGCGCAAAGCACGCTCGGGGAGGCGCACAGCAGGCACACCTGTGGTCCCCTCCAGCGTCAGGCAGCAGCCCCAGCCGGCCTCCCAGCAGCCGCAGGCACCATCCCAAGGCACCCGGCACCACCCCCAGGCGCCCACCTTGACTGCCTCGGGGTCCAGCAGGCGGCGCAGCGCGATGCGGACCTTGGTGCCGCCATCAATCGGGTCCAGAGGATCCTTGCGCATCCTGCAGGGGGCAGGATGGTGCCGCAGCGCCGCCACCGCACCGTCAACGCCCGGTCAGCACGCCGGGGGCGCACAGAGGGGCGGCGGGGCGGCCGTGGCGCACAGGCGCCGCGCCCTCACGCCCACCCACATCCTGCATGGCGCTGGGCCTTGCCTCCCTCCTGCCCAGGCTCCTCCACCCGGCGGCACCGCCCGCTCCACCCACACACTGTGTCCCACACCCACCCACCCGCACACACACACACCAACACAACCACACGCCCACGCGCTCCCCTCCCCACACCCACCCACCCACCTGTGGTTGAGCACCAGCGGCGCGATGCGCTCCAGGTCCTCCTTGGTGGCGGCGGTGCGCCCCTCAAACGCCACCAGCGCCTGCACCGCCTTGTTGATGGTGATGTCGCCGCGCACGCCGTCAATGTCCAGGAAGGAGCACAGCTCGCTGCGGGGACGGGGCAGGGGGGGTAGGAGGGGGGGGGGCAAGGGGAGGCGAGGTGTGGTGTGTGTGTGTGTGACTGTGGGTGGGTAGGTGGCAGGCGCGAGCTGCCGAGGGCTGCATGCCTGCCCCCGCAGCCTCGCTTCTCCTCCTTGCTGCCGGGGCAGGCAGGGCGAGGCCGGTCAGAGCAAGGGCCCGCCCAGGCGCGCGCCTGATCTTCAGCTTCAGCTCCCGGCTGGTCTTGACCTTGGGCAGCAGCTGGCGCGCCGCCTGCAGCTTGGCGCGCATCGCATCCTGGTCCGCCAGCACTGCAAGGGGGGGGGGGGGCAAGCAGCGGGGGAGGGCAGCAGGAGGGGCAGGAGGGGCAGGGGCCGAGGTGAGGCACAAGGGCGTGCAGGTGTTGTGGGCGCGGCCAGGCACCAGGATCCCAGCCCGGCAGCAGAAGCAGGGTTGCCACTCGGCCCGGCCCGCGGCGTGTCGTGTCGGCCCCAGCCCCAGCCCCAGCCCCAGCCCCAGCCGCCAGCCAGCAGCCAGCAGCCCAGCGCCGCCCACCCGTGGCTGCCAGCTCGTCTGCGTCGCGCTCGTACGCGATGCGGTCCATCACCATCTGCGTGCGCTGGTCCACGTCCTGCACCGCATGATACGGGGGCGGGGGACGGGGCGCGCGCACGTCGGGGCAAGGTGGGGGCGGGCACGCAAGGTGCGCGCGGCCGGCTGCGCTAGGGCGCTCGGGCCGCGTGCACGCCTCGCCCGGGGCCGGCCTGCGGCGGGGCGCGCTGGGCCGCGCCCGCAGCACCCCCCCTGCCCCGCTGCCTCCACGTCAGCCGCCCCTGAAGCCTCCCTGGGCCCCAGAGCACCAGCCCCACCCAAGGCCAGCCGGCCGCCCCGGCAGCTCGTGCCGCGCCGCACCATGAGGGTCTCCACGTTGACACTCATGCCGAAGCGGTCGAGCAGCTGCGGGCGCAGCTCCCCCTCCGCCGGGTTGCCGCTGCCAATCATGATGAACTTGGCGGGGTGCACGATGGAGATGCCCTCCCGCTCCACAGTGTTCTGCCCGCCCGCGGCTGCGGGTCACAGAGGCGGGGGGGGGGGGGGGGCGCAGGGGCGGCTGGGTGAGCGGGGACTCGGGCAGGACTAGAGGCAACGCAGGCAACACGCGCCCGTGCTGTGGCCGCGCGCCCGGCCCCAGCACCACACAGGCGCGCACAGGCGCACACAGGCGTGCGCACACACGCACACCACACACACACCACACACACAGGGACACACAGGCGCACACACACACACCACCCACCCGAGTCCAGCACCACGTCCACCAGCCCGTCGTCCAGCAGGTTGACCTCGTCCACGTACAGGATGCCGCGGTTGGCGCGCGCCAGCAGCCCCGGCTCGTACGCCTTGACCCCCTCGCTCAGCGCCTTCTCAATGTCAATGGTGCCGCAGATGCGGTCCTCTGGGGAGGGTGGCAGAGGGAGGGAGGGAGGCAGGGAGGAGGGGAGCGGGAGTGGACAGGCAGCACGGCGCGAGGCGGGAACAAGCGGGGAAGGGAGCGGCGGCACGCGGGGCGGTACACGGGCAACGAGTGCCTTGGGTGCCTGCTCTGGCTGCCGCCAGCGCCGCCCCGCGCGCACACCTGTGGCCCCCAGCGGCAGCTCCACCAGCGGCGTGCGCATCGTGGTGGCCGGCAGCTTCTCCCCCTTGGCATACCGCTGCAGCGCGTACGGACCCATCAGCTTGGGGTCTGCGGCAGGGCGGGACAGCAGGCAGGTGAAGGGGGAAGGAGGTGGGAAAACAGGCGGCGGTCAAGTGTGGGCGACTGAGCGGGAGCACTCGCGGCATGCGTACTGCCATCAGCGATGCCACGGCGCAGCGCTGGGGCGCCAGGCTGCTCCATGCTGCCACGGAAAAGGTGCGCCGACAGCGCCGACCGCTGCCGTCGCCCGGCTGTTGTCGCGCCCTGATGACCGGCACGCCCAGGCAGCCCTGCCCGGCGCCCGCACCTGTGGGGTGGGAGTTGAAAGGGTCGTCCTGCACCACGTCGATCATGGGCAGCAGGTCCACCAGGGAGCGCACAGCCACGCTCTTGCCGGTGCCGCGGTCGCCCATGATCAGCACGCCGCCAATGGTTGGGTCCACCACGTTGAGCAGCAGCGCCAGCTTCATGTCTTCCTGCCCCGCCAGCCGCGTGAAGGGGAAGGCGGGCCGCTTCTTGGCCCTGAGCTGCGCGGGGGCTGCCACTGCAGACACCAGTAGCAGGCGGCCGCGCTGCTGCTGTGCCGGACCGGGTTGCCGCCGCGCCACCGCTGCTGCGAATCTACAGGGGCGTGTCTGGCAGGCGGGCCGCGCCGGTGCCAGCACCGCCGGCGTGCAGGCTGCTGCCCGCGTCTGCATGGTGCAAGGGTGTGTGCAGGAGGCACGGCAAAGAGATGTGCTCGGCTCCTAGATAACGCTGGTAACAACCGGCGGGGCTGCAATGCCCGCTTTCGCACAGCGTGATCGGATGAGGCAGGACAGGTTGGGGCAGCGCAGTACACTTCGCCACGAGCATTGACGGGCTCTCTAGGGGAGCGGGAGGGGTTGAGGGTTTCTGTTGGTTCGTCAATTTTAAGTGTTGGTACACTTTGCAGAGAGGCAGGCAACTGCGCCGCTCTCTGTGAGTCCTGCCCCCGCCTTGTATTGGCACCAGCCAGTTGGCTCAGAGAAGAGCCTAGGAGCGCGGCGGCGGCGAGACAGGGAAGCGAGCAGGGAGCGGGTGCCTGCTCTGTCTGCAGCGTCCTGAGCGCTGCAGGTCCTGTGCTGCAGGTCCTGTAGTGCGCGCTGCTCCTAGAACACCCTATCAGTTATGCGCGCCGAATAGTGCAATCAAGGGGTCATCCCAGTGGCACGGTGCATCCAGAGGAAGAGGGGCTGCCTCAGCATGGGTGGCGGGGAGGTGGGCAGTCACCGGGCCCGCGCTGCTCCCTGGCGCAGCTGCCGACCCGCGGCACCAGGATTGCGGCCACATCTGCAGCGGCTATGGCAGGCCCTTCGAACCAGCCTTGCAGGTGACTGCGTTGAAGCTTGAAGCAGCCATCAAATACATCTGGCATGCATAAACAACCCGTGTTCACCAATCGGCTGTCATCGCTCTGCCGCAACTTCTGTGGGTGGGTGGCGCAAGGCGGGAGCCGACCCACCCTACCGGGAGCCGACCCACCCTACCGCCACACACAAAAAGGGGAGGCCCCATCAGATTCACACTTATCCACTACAGAAGCCTAGCGGTGAATTGCGCATCAAGTCTTCCTGCCTACACCATTCCTGCCTACACATCGCTCGCACTACGCTCCTGCCACTCGGCGCGACACTGCCTCACTCTCAATGAACTGCTGACGCTGCGCCACTTAATCACCAGCCGCTCTCCTCCTCCATCTCCACCTCCAAGCTGTCCACTCCATCAGCCTCTGCCGCTGCCACGTCTGCCCCAGCGCCCACAGCCGCTCCGCTGCACTCTGCGCCGCTGCACCCCGGCGCCTGCTGCTCCTCCTCCTCCACAGATGCCTCTGCATCCTGCTGCTGCTGCTGCTCCTGCTGCTGAGTGCCAGCAGCTGCCGCCGCCGCCGCCAGCTCCTGGCTGCGGTCCAGGTGCACAAAGGTGACGTGTCCCGCCGAGATGGCGGCGCACAGCGGCCCGTCCTCGCAGCTCCCCGACACATCCCTGAACTCTGGGGCTGCGGCAGCCGCCGCCCCTCCCTCCTCCCCCCCGGCTGCGCTGCCGCTGCCGCCCCGCCCCGCCTGCCTCTCCGCCGCCGCAGCAGCCTGGGCCAGCAGGTCGTGTGTGTCGCAGGCGGTGTCGGTGCGCAGCGTGAAGAGCTGCCTCAGCTCCTCCTTGCTGCAGCAGGCAGGCGGGCGGGGGGCAACCCGGTGTGGCACCGGCGTGGGTTTCCGCACATCGAGAGGGACTGAAGAAGCGGGCAGGGGCATGCAGAGAACCGGGCGCAAACCGAGATGATCTCAGATCCGGAGACGCCTTCCCAAGACTAGTCTCACGCAGCAGCGGCACTTGCCTGAACTTGCCGCCGCCGGCCTTGCTGCCCGCGGCGCCGCCGGCCTTGCCGCCGCCGCCCATCATGGTGGCAGCTATGTCTCCCTTCTTCAGCCTGCAGAGACAGGCGCCCAGGAAGGCAGGGAGGCATACATGCTGTCAGGCCAAGGCGGCTGCACCCAGCCGGCCTTACACCGCAGGCATGCCGACACGGTTTCAAACGAGGGCAAGCCACCCCGCCAGCCTGCACTGGTCGGGGTCTGCGCGCCGTGCCAGCTGAGCTCACTGTCGCTGGTACATCTTTTCATCCAGCGTGCCTGCAGGGCGCATGGGAGCACCAGCTGTGCATGGGATACCAGGCTGCAAGCTGGCCGTGAGGCTGCATGAGCGGGCACAGGGAGACCGGCAGGCACCTGCGCACCACACACCCTACCCACGCACATCACCACCACCACGGGCACTGCCCGCTGCCAGCCAGTGCGGCGCACCCGTGGTGAGCAGGCGGTACACCACGCACGCTTTCTTCTGGCCGTCCCGCCACACGCGCGCCATGGCCTGCAGGTCCATGGCCGGGTTCCAGTGGCTGCAGCGCCAGGGTTGTGCAAGGAAGGAATAAACAGCGTGAATGGTGAGCTTATGGAGAGCAAGAGGGCCACAGCGGGGCAGGGCTGCCAGGCAGGCGAAGGGCACACAGCGCTGGCGTGCAACACACACCGCCCGCAGAGCCAGCGCAGGCGGTTGGTGCCTCCCCCACCCCTGCCCCCAGCAGCAGCACCTGTCCAGCAGCACCAGGCGGTTGGCGCCCGTCAGGTTGAGGCCCGCCCCTCCGGCGGTGGTGGACAGCAGGAACACCTGCGGGCAGCACGCATCAGGGAGAGGCGTGGTCTGCTGAGCTGCTGCAGCAGCGTGCCGCCCTACACGCCTCAGCACTGCCTGCCGCCACATGCCTCAGCCGCCCCGACCTGCCCATGCCAACACGCCCGCAGCGGCCAGCCCGAACCACCTCGCTCCGCCCTGCTCCACTGCCGCACTCGCCTGCCCCACGCCGTGCCGGTTGAAGCTGTTGACCACATCCTGGCGCTTGCCCACGTCGGTGCCGCCGTCTATGCGCACAGTCTTGAAGCCGCATCCATCGCACAGCTTCTGTGGGGGGCAGGGCAAGGCAGGGCAAGGCGGCAAGTCAAGCGAGCACGCCAGGCCCTGGGCTGTGAGGAAAGCACTGCTCGCCGTGCTGGCTCCTTGTGCTGGCACCTCGTGCGAGCCCCAAAGGTGGGGCGCTGGTGGCAAGCGTGCCCAGCACAAGCACCAGCCCTGGCCCTCCCTGCCCCCCAGCCCCAGCCCCAGCCCCAGGCCCCTCCCTGCCCCTCCCTGCCCCCCAAGCAGGGCTTGCCTGCACCAGGTCCAGTGCGGCGGTGGACTGGCTGACCACCACCACCCGCTCTCCCGCCCCAGAGATGCTCTCCCTCAGCACCACGCCCAGCACCGCCATCTTGCCTGCAGGCGGCGGCGGCGGCGGCGGCGCGGGCGGCGGCGGCCCAGGCGCCAAGTGAGCAGGCAGGGCAGGGAGGTGCGGCTGATGCGCGGGGCAGCGCGGGCAGCGCATCGGTGGCAGGACCGCTCGCACGCCTGCCCTTCCGAGCCCCTCGACACACCCTGACACACCAGCACCACACACGCATGCATACACCCCTAAACCCACCCATGCGACCATCCTCTCCCACACCCACCCGACTGGTCTGGATCGAACTCGGCCTCCTGCTGCTCCCCGCCAGCCTCCTGGCCCTCGCCGCCGCCGGGTGCGTAGAGGGCGGGGTGGTTGCAGATCTTGCGCAGGTTGGTCAGCACCGTCAGCGTCTGGCAGGGCAGGGCGGGAGAGGGAAGTTGCCAGGCAGCAGGGTAGTGTGGTTTGTAGACAAGACATGCGGTGGAGGGCCGTATGTGGAGGGGTTTGTGGCGAGTGACCAGGCAAGCCGCATGCTCCTCTGATTGCCGCCACCACCACACCCACTCGCACCCCCAGCGCCAGAGGCCCCACAAACCTCCCCACCTGGTCCCCATAGTCGCCGCCGCTGGTGGCCAGCAGCTTGCGCACGCTGGAGGAGCCCAGCACGGAGCTGTACACGCGCAGCTGGAGCTGGGTGGGCCTGCAGGGCGCGGGGCGGTGGGGAGGAGGCGCAGCGGTGACACCTGGTGTGGCACCCGGCAGCCCCGCACCGCTCCTGCACTGCTCCCTACTGCCAGTTTCACTCCACCCCGCCGCACACACACGGCAGACCACACACACCACCGCACTGCCACCCCAGCTGCCCTCAGCTGCCTTGCCCCTGCCCCACTACCAGCCATGCGCACGCGCCTGCAGAACACCACGTAACTGGCCAGCGGCGGCAGGTACTTGGCGTTGACCTCCCGCGTGCGCCGCAGCACAAAGGCCTCCACCCGGCGGGACAGCTCCCTGCGCACAGCAGGCACAGCAGGCAGGCAGGCAGGCAGGCAGTGGGGAGGCGGGCTGGCGTGGGCAGAGGCTGACGCGCCGCTGGCGCGTGCCCCGAGCCGGCCAGGAGGGCAGCGGGCACCCCCCGGCCTGCCGTGCTCAGGCGCATGCCCCCTGCCAGCTCACGCCGACCGCTTCTCCCCCAGCTCCCGCTCCTTGTCGCTCGCGCCCCGCTCCCGGCTCTTGTTGATGGGTGCGGCCAGCACACGCTCGAACGCCTGCCGCAGGTGGGGGGACACACATAAGGTGTGTGTGTGGGGGGGGGACACATAAGGTGGGATCGCAGGGCCTCGTGAGGGAAGCAGCAGCCGAAGCCGCTGCAAACTCGCTGGTCAGGAAAGCAAGCGCGGCAGCGCAAGGACCACCGAGAAGCACAGGTGCGGTGAGCGCCGCACGTCCTCACCTGCAGGCTGCCCAGGGAGTCTGGGTTGACAAAGTTCACCATGGCATAGAACTCAGACAGGTTGTTCTGCAGCGGGGTGCCTGCAGGTGCACAGGAAGGGCAGGAGGGCGGGGCAAGGGCCAGGAGGAGAAAGGGAGGAGGGGCTGAGGAGCAGCGGTGGCATGCGGCCCAGGGTGGGGACCAGGGCGAGGAGCGGGATGTGCAGGGCTACAAGGAGGCCTTGCACAGGTGCAAACCCTGCGGGCGTCTGCCGCGCGGCCTGCTCGCCTGTGAGCAGCACGCGGCGGGGGCAGTTGAGTGAGGTGAGGGCGGTGATGGTCTTGCTGCCTTGCGCGGACTTGAGGCGGTGGCCCTCATCACACCTGCGCCACCGCCGCCACCCACGCAACCAGGCTGATCACATCCAGACATGCCAGGGCCAATCACACCGGCCGATCTCCACACAAGCATGCGAACAACATTACATGCCTCGCTCCTGCCCCAAGCCCCCTCGCAAACCCCACCCACCCCCACCCCATGCAGCCAGCTTACACCAGCAGGTCCACGCAGCCCGCCAGGTCAGCGGCGTGCTTGCGCAGCGTCTCGTACGACACCGCCGCCACCGACACCGTGCGGCCGTGCTTGAAGTCCAGCACCTGGGGTGGGGGGCAGGGGGTGGGTGGGTGGGTGTTGGTTAGTCGGTTGGTGGGTGGGAGGGGGCACAGGCATCAAATGGCTGGTGTGGCACAGGCACTGCATGGCTGGTGGCTATTGGGTTGCCGCTGGGTGGTGGCAGAGGCCAGCCAGTCGTGTGCTGCCAGGGCAGTCTTCGCAGCGTGCCGTGCATTGCGTGGGGTGCCGCCTTGCTGCCGCCCAGCCCCCCTCGCCTGCCTGCTGCCAGCACCAGGCCCTGCCCCCCGCAGCTCGCGTGCCTGCTGCTTGCCCTCTGGCCCGGACGACAGCACCATGACACGCATGCGCTCATCCCCCAGCCACTTGCGCGCCTCCTCGCTCCAGTTCTGGGTCAGGCTGCTGGGGGTGACCACCACCGCCTTGCGTACCGCGGGGCGGCCCTGCAGGCAGCAGCAGGGAGGGCAGGCAGTGGAGCATGCAGGCTGGAAGGGCGAGGAGAGCGGGAGGCACAACCAGCTGTCGGTGCCTGCCCTGAACGGCACCCACCCACCTCGGGGCCCTGCTTGAGAAGAGTCCAAACCAGCGCCAGCACCTGCAGCGTCTTGCCCAGGCCCTGCGGAATACAAGGCCACACACGCGCAGGTGGAGCAGAGCGCTGCTGCACTCGCTGCATGCATGGGGGCTGCCCCGTGCAGCTTGCCACCGGCTGACCCCGTGCATCTCCCGCCCCGGCTGCCTCACCATCTCATCGGCCAGGATGCAGCCGTGCATGCCGGGGGAGCGCAGGCCCATGGTGGCTTCATACAAGAACTGCACACCCTCCACCTGCACAGCACAGCCAGGCCCCAAGCACAGCAGGGCCCTCAGCGTGGGGCAGGACCAGGGACGCCGATCAGGAGAAGTATCAGAGCGAGCAACCCTAAGTGCAGGCAGGCGGGCAGTGCAGCCAGTGGCCCACACCTGGTGGGGCCTCAGGTGCCTGCCGATGTAGGAGTCCACCACCACAGGGCACACCAGCCTGCCGCGCGCCAGCTGGCCCTTGCCGCCCGCCCACTGCTGGCGGTTGAGCACGAAGGCGCCGTCGGCGTGAGGGTCGTGCAGCCAGCGCGGCGGCACCGGCTCGCTGGCGGCCGCCGCCGCCGCCCCTGCCGCTGCGCTGCCGCAGGCCAGGCCAGGCCGCTTGAAGGCGCCTCCGACAGGGGGCCTGAAGCCGGCACCAGGCGGCCTGTTGGCGGGTGCCATGGGCGCAGCGGCAAGCAGCGCCGCAGCGGTGGGCTTCAGGAACAACTCGCCACTCCTGCGGGGCAGGGTGGGGGGTGGGGGGGGGTGCGCAGCAGGCGCGGTGGCATTCAGGCGGCGACAGATTGCGGGGAGCACCGCAAGAGTGCCAGCTCTTCTGCCGGCAGGTGCCAGGGGCTTTCCCAGGCAGCACCCAGCACCCGGCAGCACCTCCCACCCATAGGCGCTCAGAATCCCTCCCCCTCTGCACCCCAGCACCCGCTACTCACTTGAACTTGTCGGCGTCGGCGGCCTCCTCCACCTCCACCTCCCACTGCCCCACCACCACGCTGCTGCCGGCGCCCATGGCCGCCACGTTGACCCCACGCAGCACGCTAACGCCCACCTGCTTGCCCTCGCCGTCCAGCAGCGTCTGATCGGCAGGGGTGGCGGACAGCAAAGTACAGCAAGGATGAGGGGAAGAAACAGAGGGTGGAACAAGTGAGGGCAGGGCAAAGGGCAGCACCCAGCAGGAAGCTGCGGGCGGCGGCCTGCCGTACCGCACGCTTTGAGTCGGCGGCCACCTCCAGGATGCCATCTGCGAAGCTCTTGTTCTTCCGCAGCTTCTTGTTGGGCTGGTACTTGCAGTAGAGCACCTGCACCACGCAGCGCGGACGAGGCGTCGAACGGCGTCGAGTGCCCGCCAATTGGAGCATGCAGGCGAGCGTTAGCCTTCTCGGCGGCAGACCCCGCTAGCCAGCCGCGCTCACCGTGAAGTAGCGAGCCTCACTGTCGGCCACGGCTGCAGTGGAGGGCCCCGCGGCTGCGACGACTGCCGCATGGGAGGCGGCGGCAGCCGAGGCAGCGGGGCGGGGCGCGGCGGGCTTGCTGCTGCCAGGCGCGGCCAGGGCGGGCTTCTTCACAAAAGCCGGCGCGTTGAAGGCCCTGCGCTTGAGGCCCAACGACGGCGCCTTGAGCGCTGGCTGCGCAGCATTCTCTTTTGACGCCTCGGTTGTAGCATCCTGGTCCGCCATGGCGGCCCGAGGCAGCGATCTGCGATGCCCAGAAGCGTACGGGAGCTAGAAATCCGAGCAGGGAGGGCGTTTGCAATCCGTATTTTTGGGCGGTGGCGCAGCGGGCCCAGCGGGGTGCTGCCGTCAGCCCATGCTGCTTAGGAAGGCCACACTGTGCTCTTTTCGGCGTGCATCACATGTGATTATTGTTTCAGCGCCGTTGCGGGATCTAATCACGGTGTCACCGCCTCCTGTCCGCCCGCGCGCATCGGCAGCCAAGGCAAGCGGTTGGGAGGTTGCTGTGGGCGTGTACATCCAAGAGAAGATGGAATAGCGTCACCGCAAACAGGAAAGAATAAGGAAGGCTTGTACGGGGTCAGTGGCAGGCATGCATGCGAACCGCGACCGCTGGCCCTGACGGCCGCCGCCGCTGCCGCTGCTGCGTTGTGCTGCTCAGTAGTTGGCATTGCCTGGCCAGCGAGGGAAGGGGATGACCTCTCGGATGTTGTCCAGCCCTGCAGGAGCCACACAGCGGAGGGGGTGCCAGCGGGGCGGTCGGCGCATGTGCGGCACGAGGAGCAGAGGCAGGGAGAGCTGTGTGAGGAGAGCAGGGCAGCCCTCATGGGGCTGCCGCCTGCTGGCTGCTCACCCGTGGCAAACAGGATCAGCCGCTCAAAGCCCAGCCCAAAGCCTGAGGACAGCAGGGGACGTGGCGGGGCAGCAGCGTATGGGTGCAGGGTCAGAAAGGCGCAGCGTCTAGGCATGCACGTGCATTGACACTGCCGCCAACAGCGCAGACAAGCAAACCACGAATGCCAGGCTGCAAGCTGCGCCTGCCTGCAGATCTGTGCCGCGCGGCCGCCACCCACCCGAGTGCGGTACCGTGCCGTACTTGCGCAGGTCCAGGTAGGCGGAGTAAGGCTCCATGGGCATGCCCGACTCTGTGGGGGGGTGCAGGAAGGAAGGACAGGTTGCGTGTGTGGGCGTGTGGATTGTTGGCATGGTTGTGGCGGGGATTTGCAGGGAGGGTGACCAGGAGCGCGGCCATGCGGCACGGCGGCAGCTGCTCAGCGGCGCAGCCAGCGCCGCGCGGGGCGTGCGCCGCACCCGCGATGCGCCGCGTCAGCACGTCTAGCCGCTCCTCGCGCTGCGACCCGCCCACCAGCTCCCCCACCTGCAGCCGCGGGCGGCGGTGTGAGTGTGTGTGTGTGTGTGTGTGTGTGTGTGTTTGTGTGTCGTGTGTGTGTCGCCCCTGGGAACGAGGCCGGCGAGACACGCCGGAGGCAGGGCTGCGCCAGGCGCCGGCAGGGCGCAGGCAGCCTCCGCCCCCTCGTCGCCACCCCAGGTTCACCGCTTGCCCCGGAAGCGCGCTCCCTGCCACCACCCGCGCTCCTCGCACCACTCTGGCCCCCAGTGCACCCCACCCACCTTTGGCACCAGCACATCCATGGCCGCCACCGTCTTGCCGTCGTCGTTAAGCCGCATGTAAAAGGCCTGCGCAGGGGGGTGGGGGCGATGGGGACGATGGGGGCGGGCTCGAAAGCAACGATGCTGCGACGCGAGTGCCAGCCCCGGCTTGCTGGGCCCATCTGCTCATGTCATGCAGGCGCCGACACCCTCCTCCAAACCAGGCGTCACGGCCGCTGTGTGCCCGAGCCGCCGCCGTCGTACCAGGGCCGCCGTGCCCAGCCTGCCCGCCAGGCTGGCATGCCCAGGCGGCCGCCGCCCGCCTGCTGGCCGCTCCTGCCCCTGCCGCCGCCGCCGCCGCCGCCCCCCTCTCGCCCCCCCACCTTGATGTCCTTGGGGTAGTTGTACACGATGATGGGCTGGCGGAACACCTCCTCGGTCAGGTACCGCTCATGCTCGCTCTGCAGGCGGTACAATTGTGTGCGGTACAGGCGTGTGCGGTGTGTGTGGGTGGATGTGCGGGCGTGCGCGTGATGGTGGAACGGCAGGGCTGGGGAGGGGGTGGCAGCCCGCAGGGGCAGCCAGGGGCAGCTCGGCCAGGCGGCGGCGCCTCCCTGCACTACCTACCCCCTCGGCCCCGCGCCCCCGCTGCATCCGCATGCAGGCCACCACTGCCACCCCAACAACACACACACAATATCACACCACGCACACACACACACACACACACACGTGTGTGCAACCACACACACACACGCCCACCTGCAGGTCGATGCCCCAGGACACCGGGAACTCAAACTTCTTCTTGCCCGCCGCCACCACCCCCTCCAGCAGCTCGATGGCCTCGGTGTAGGAGACGCGCTTGAAGGAGGAGTTGGCCACCTGGGGCGGCGGTGGCAGGGGCGGTGGAGGCAGGGGGAGCAGGCAGGGTTGGCGCAGGCACAGACTGCTGCTGCCCGGGGCGCGGCGGTGGCAAACCGCGGGCCCTGCGCCACCCGGCAGCCCTGGTCCCCGGCCAGCCGCCTGCCGCCGCTCCCCAGGGAGGCCCCGCAGGGCAGCGGGCGCACCACGCCTGCCCACCTGCTCCAGGCGGGCGATGGCGCCCTTGTCGATCATGGAGTTTATGAACTCGAGGTCGGGGCGGCAGCTGTCCAGCAAGTGGCGGCAGCAGTACCGCACGTAATCCTCCGCGCACTGCATGTCGTCTGCAGGCGGGCGGGGCAGGAGGGGGAGGGGGTACCGGGGTGGTGAGCGGGGGGCGCGCGTTTGGCTGGGTGGAGGTCACGTGTGCATGCCGCCCCACCCTGGCATTCGGCAGCCCGGCCCTTCCTCCTAGCCCTCTCTCTCCACACCCGCCGGCCTAGCACACACACGCACACACGCACGCACACACACCTCCCTCTCACCCGCCAGGTCGCAGAAGGCCATCTCCGGCTCAATCATCCAGAACTCGGCCAGGTGGCGCGCGGTGTGGGAGTTCTCGGCACGGAAGGTGGGGCCTGTGTGTGTATGTGGGCGAGTGTGTGTTGGCAATGCCAGCAGCACAAGAGATCAGCAGGGAGGGCGCTCGGCAGGCCACACGCCAGCAGGCCCCTGGCTTCCACGCCCACCTGCACCCCCCTCCTCCCGCCTCCCTTGGTAAAAGGTCCCCGCCACCCTCGCCTCCCGCCACCCGCCACCAGCGCCACCAACACGAACCCCACCAGACACACACACACACGCACACAGACACATACACGGATAAGTACATACACAGCTCCTCCCGCCTGCCGCAGCAGGCCTCACCAAAGGTGTAGATGTTGGACAGGGCGCAGGCGTAGTACTCTCCGTTGAGCTGCCCCGACACCGTCAGGTAGGCGGGCTTGGAGAAGAAGTCC